ATTGTAAGTCATTGCCTACACTTCCCAGCGTTTGTATTCTTATTAAACTATTATCATTTGTCTTGATAATATTTTAAATAAAGCGAATAAAAAATTATTTAAATTTATTTTATAAACTTTGAATTATAAAGTGTATTTTAAGTTGTAATTTATTAGCCTAGAAATCAAATTTATTTATTCTCTCCATTTAATTAAATAGTTTTATTAGTTTTCAATTCATTTGTGCGAAAGGTTTTGATGACATTTTCATGTAAACAGAATCGGCGCTAGAATATAAATATAACACTGGTATCATGTAATCGTTAAGTTTTCATGAGTCAGTCCAACAACAACTAACACTATATTATTTAGCAATGCTTTCAAAAAATAGTTAATTTCATTAAATACTTTTCTTGAAAATAATTGAATTGATCTGATCTGACGTTTTTAATAGATCTTGAGTTACAAGACATCAATTATTAAACATTTCATAATTCGTTTCATATATAAAAAAATTTTTATTTAATGTTAACTACATTTAAATAAAATAATTGAATTGATCTGATCTGACGTTTTTAATAGATCTTGAGTTACAAGACATCAATTATTAAACATTTCATAATTCATTTCATATATAAAAAAAATTTTATTTAATGTTAACTACATTTAAAATTAGTTAAGTTAGAAATATATGTTTTATTTGATTAAATTCATTAAAGCAATGTTGGGAAATCATATAAAAAATTGATTATGTAGTAAGTTATTGGTCGATAACATACATGCCTTACATAGTATTGACACAATCAAAGAAAAGCTTACGCTTTGGTATTTATATTGAAGTGAAATATCTATGAGATTGTCATCAAATTATTGTCTAATTTACTTCTCGATACTCTTGTCAAATGATTGGGTAACATGAATTTATTATTCATTGTTAACACTGGTATTTATGAATAATAAGGATCTGATAAACAGTACAATGATATTCCGCTTATTCCAGACAAATCATATCATATTATTTTGAACAGAATTTTTATCGATTTTAATATCTAATCATTTAACCATCACATTTTTTACATTTAATCATCAAATAAAGCATTTCGTGAATCTCTATATCCTATACCTGTCCTAACAATTTCTGTATAACCGTATTTGACATTTCATTCAAGTATTACATTAACTATTTTGTTGTTTATACGAAAAATCTAAGTTTATATAACTGTGTGTTGGTTTAACTGATATTTGAATGGATTTTACTTATGTTTGATATATTATAGAGAGATATGGAATAAGTTCTTAGAGTTCGAGTGTCATATCGGAGACCTTTCGAGTGTTATTAAAGTGGAGAAAAGGAGAGCCGTAGCCATAGAGCGGCTCAACAAACAGACCTCAGAGACGGCGTGGCTGGTCGACAGATACAAGTTCCAGAACCTATTGCCCTGCTGTCAGACTGAGCTCAAGTCCATCGGTTATGTGATTAAACAGCACCAAAATAATCCGTTCACACCGACCGTCGCCAACGTCGTGTCGGCCGCCCTTCCATCCAATCTCACCACTTATCCAAAGCCCGACTTCTCTCAAATGGTTCCCTTCAAACCCAAACCAAATCCGAGTAAACATATTATTTATTTCATTAATTAGACTCCATTGGAGTTCATGTTTTTGTCAGTTGTATTCAATAAGTTGTCTCGCATTTTTCTGTTTAGTCGGCAATTTGATACCCGGGGGTGTCTTCCCGCCGCCCCCAGCGGTCACCACACTATTGGCACAATTACCTCACCCGTCGTCATTCAACGGTCCGTTTGTTAATATTGATGATCTGATTGGTCTGATTCGTACAAAGTTCTCAACTCTGGACTCCACTCTACGGCCGGAAGGCCTCACTCCCCAAGAAAGCCGCAAGTATTTCAGTATTGCTGTCGAGGCGGCCGAAACCAACGCCAATAATAGTAAGCGAGCCATGAATGAAGAGGAGGAGGAGGGAGAGGGCGATGACTCGAGTCTAGTGCCCCCGCAGTTCGATATCTACCGAAGCAGACAATTGCAGAAAAGACCCCGAAACTAGTTCTTAATTCAGATTTTATTTTTCATTAATTTGTTTTTCTCTAAATTTAGTTATTATTAAAAATCAAAATTTGAAAATAATTATCAATTTATATAAATATAAGCATTAAAATTGTAATTTCATTGAAAACATACTACACATACAATCTATATTTGAAACAATAATTTGTACCCAATTTTTTCACTATAATAAAAGTTCAAAATCATTTTTAAAGTAAATACTAAATGAGAAATTCAATCGAAAAGATTATGGTTTAAAATTATATTTAATTTTGAATAAAATATTAATTTACAAAGGGCATAATTTGCTCATAAATTCTTATCACAAGAGTGATTATTAACAATACATTACAATACAATACATACTGTTATACTGTAGAGTGGTATAGGGGAAGGCCTTAACTGTCTGGTGTCCCACTGCGGCCGAAACGGAGGAATGAGCGGTCATTCAAGTCTTGGGTATCTTTGGGTCGTTTGTTATTCCTATAAGAGGTTCGACCGAATCGGAGGAAACTTTGATCGCTTAGGTTTGATGTATGATAGCGTCGGTCTCGCACTGACATCGGCTCTAAGGATCCAAATTGTTTAGACGTATTGAACGCAAATAAGATGAGCACTGTATAAATTATATGAATACCTGCTAAGTGTCCGTCCACACCAGCCTTGTCCACGGCCTCCACTATAATGTGTCCCAAAATGCCTAACGGATGACGTGATAAAGTCTTGGCGATTAAATATCTCAGATCTGATTCATTAATCTCTTGAAACACAGGTTTTCGTTCGCTTTCATTAATCGGTTGACAGATCACTGATTTGGTCAAAACAACTAATGATATGGCAATGAGACTCATATGATATGAAATAACCATTTTTGACCAATTCTATAAACATTCAAAATTTGCATTTTTAAATTTGTTTTTAAAGTAAAAGTTGTCAAATGAAAAAACAGCAAAACTTAAAATAACAAAAATTAAATAGATAGTCACTAGACTTACGTTAACTGTTAAACAATTGTCAAATATTAACAAAGTTATAACTTTGAAGTCTTGTTGAGTACTGGATTTGTCGTCTCTTAAAACAAGTATCGGGAACTATGTGCAGGATATTTAATACAATTTGATGTACAATTTATAGTACAAGTTTGCAATGAGTTTGCGTGACGTATATTTGGTCAACCCATTAAATAACCACGATGCGTTCAGACTTTCACTGATTTTAGGGTTTGTGTCACTACTTTGTTCTCATACTTCTTGCTTAATATCACTGTCAATGCATTAATTGATGCATTTTAACTGACATACCATTAGTCCTGTATTCACTCAAAACCAATTAAACTATAAATATAAATAAGCTTATATTCTGTAATACAGTATTAATACTGTACTTGTAACCTTTTCATCCAATTCTATATTTTATCGTTTAAAATACTCATTATATTCATATTAATTACATGCAAATATTATTATTACACGATTATAAAAGAATATAATTCGTAATTTGAAAATTAATTAAGAGTTAAATAATGTTTTAGTAAGCAAGGTAATTGAGTAACTTTTTAACCATTGTAAGAAGCACTTTAACTCTTTTTTACCTTAGTTTTAATGTTTTTTACTTGTTGCTTTAATGCCTATATTTTTATGACTTTTTGGATTATTTGTTTCATATCTAAAATATATAATTTGTTTTCATGAATTCATTTATAGAGTGTTATGGTATTTATTATATATATTTATAGTATATGTAATATTCCTATATTTATAACGTCAATGAGTGGGCACATCAGCCATAAGGCAAAGGCGATATCCATTAGGAAT